TTTGGATATTGCTGTTTTTTTATTATTATTATTATTATTTTTTTTTATTAGAAATAGATTGAAGAGGGTTACTTTTGGGGAGTTCACAGTTCATTTTGGAAGGAATATCTAAAAAAAAAAATTGCCTATTGTTACCTATGGAGTATAGTCCTATATGAAGTTGAATATTATGTGGAATTCCTATATACATAATACATATTTATGTATAAATTATCCTTATATAGAGCATAACCCTGTATAGTTAGTTATAGAAATCAAACTCAAATTGAAACGTTTTTATTCTTATTTATTGTTTTTTAAATATCATCTCATATTCAATAATCGATCACTAAAGCTAAATGATTTCATCGGCTGCTGTCGCTGCTGCTGTTTTTGGGATTCCATTAGATGTAAAATGTTTAATGTTTAATGCTATGTTATGTATGTTGTTTATCTCATGCATACAAATACCGTTTCATTACATTAGGCTATTAATTAATTCACGTTCTTGTTGGGATCAAAGTATAGTACTCCATGGGATATTATGTTTAACAATGTTAAGCCTATAAACTAACATTTAACAAAAGCACAATAAGAATTCAGATCAACTTTGAGGTGCGATAGTTAAAATTATGCGCTATAAAATTAAGTCATTAGGTATACACAACATATATATATATATATAATACACAGATCTATGTATATATATATAAACAATTTCAGTTCCGTGCTTTGGATTGGTTCGGATGGGATATACACACACACATATAAAAAAGGCATTTAAGATCGTAGAGCTTGATTGGAGTTACTTCGGTTGGTTTGCTTCAGACATATATGTATGTAAATACCTTGAACTGCTTATAGAAGAAGATTTAATAATACATTTCCATAGATTGACAAATATTAAAAGTTGATTTTGTTTTTGATTTTTTCTTTCTTTTTTTTTTTGGGTATCCACGACGGACAAACATATCTTAGTTGTGCTTATTTAATTAAAGACAGAACTTATAACAAATATGGCAAAAAAAGAAAAAAGAAAATGAAAAACAACAAAATCTCTCCCAATGCCGGCGGCAAAAAACAAAAAATGAAAAACAAATCATGAGCATGCGAACTGTAAAGGAAAATCTGCTCAAGTTTTTCCCCCCGGCTGGCCGTTGCGTGTGTGTGTGTGTGTGTGTGCAGCAAGTAGACAAAAGACAAACAAACAAACGGAGATAAGCACCATCAGGCTGTGGCATCCTGAACTGACCCGATCCGGCCCGACCCTCTAGTTGCGGTTCAGCCAGAAGATGGTCTTCAGCACAAAGTAGGCCAGGCCCAGACAGTAGACAATCTTCTCGCGCTGCATCCGCTGCTCGTTGTTGATCTCAATGTTGAGCACGCGCCGATTCAGCTTGGCCAGCTGGCGGCGCAGATAGAGGATCTCCTCGTGCGGCGACAGTTCACCCATGGGCGTGCCCTCGCGCTGGGACAGCATGGAGGCATCCAAATTGCTTTGCTGCTGCTGCAGTTGCTGTTGCATCAGCTGCGAACGTTTGCTGCCGCTGCCCGTTGTGAGCTGAGAGAGAGAAAGAGAGAGAGAGAGGGAGAGAGAGGAAAAGGAGGTTAGTAAACTTGGCTTAAAGGCGTCACTCAACTCACATCAAAGTTCTGATAGACCATGGCTTAAATACTAAATATAAAATATATCTATCGTAAATAGTTGTTTAGCTCTCGGAAATTTTGACAAATTACAAACGATAATTTCAATGACAACTAATTTCAGTTAGTCTAAACAGATTTCTGACTAAAAACCGTCTAGAAGTAAAATTGGCAAAAAAAAATTAACTTGGCTCAATCGAAAATTGGCAATGCAAATAAATATTTATAGATTTATGAAAATTTTGATCGTAACACTCCCCGACTTTTCAGTCAGCATCTGAACATCGTACGCCTCTCCACACAGATTGGTAAACAAAATTTAAGAAAAAAAAAAAAAAATAAATAAATAAAAACAAATCAATATATATAAGTCAAGCTGAGAGTATGTCACAAGCGCATTATTCCGAGGAGGATGAGCTGCCCAAACTGGAGTCCATCAGCAATGCGGTCAAGTGCGAGCAGACGGGCCACATTATGGAGGCGATACTGCTGTATGAGGAGAGCATCTTCAAGCTGAATCAGCTGGCCAATTCGGATCCAAAGAAACAGCAGCTCTATCTCAAGTACCTGAAGATGTACGAGGCGCGCGCCAATCAGCTGCGCGATCAGGTCAAGGCTCATTTGCACTCCAGCAAGATGCTGGAGCACATCACCATCGAACGGGATGCCAGGGGACGAGGCTATCAGCGTCTGCTCGGCGCCTACTTCAACGACAGTGTGAAGGAGGCGCATCTGAATGAGCCGCAGCTCTGCGAGCAGCATCATTTTAAGAATCTGGTGAATTTCTTGGAAGTGCTGGTCAAGAGCTGTCGCTACTTGAAGTACATACGACTGACGACGCGGCCGGATCTGGCGTTGCCCAAGAATCAGTTGCACATCCTGCAGCAGATTCGCGCCGATCTGGCCACGGGCAACATTCACATGAACTTCCAGCTGGATGAGACGCTGCACGATCGCAAGATCGTGCTCAGCTCCGGCGTAGTCATCAAGATCGGACGCGGCCTGCACTATTTCGAGCCGTGCGAACATCTCTATACGCTGGGCCTCTGCGATTTCGATTTTCGCAAATGCCTGGCCACCGAGGTGGACGTGTGGAAGTGCCGGGCCTTTGCCAAGCCGCTCCGGCAACAGCCCGAGCATCCCGTCTACCAACCGACCGCGCCCAAGGACATCGAGCAACGGGCCCACCAGGGCATGCCCAGCATCTACTCGAGCGAATAGTGGGCCGTAAAGAAAATTTGGCTTATTGAGGGTATACAGACTGCAGCATTCCTGGTCGAATATTCACAGACTCAAAGAAAATTGTGGTATTAGAGATGAAATTGTACAAATATATGAAAACTAGATACAGACACAGATGGAAAAGGCGAGAGGCGTTAATATACAAGTAGGAGAAGTGGAAGAGCGAGCGCATTATAGATCAAATGTTAAATAATATTAAGGAAGGACTATATATAGAAGATATTTAGATTAGTAGATATATAAAGTATTCCTGATTTGCTAAGATATCCAAAATGAACAATAGTTATATGTATATGTATATCATAGATCATTGAAGATCATATATGAAATGGTATTTTTGATCTAGCCTAATATTAATTATCTATATGAGTTTATAGAATACATTTTAATTATATTCTAGGAGCAGAGTTTGACAATGTTTATATACATTAATAATAGCCTAACAATCTTTTATAAATGATATAGAAAACTAATTGAAAAGGAAAAAGGAAAAAAAGACAGAACTATGAATATAAGTAAATGAAATATATAAATATATTCCATAATCCTCTCTGATCTACCAGTTGAAATTGAGCTATGCTAACTCTCTCAGAATACTCCCATTAACCAGCTGACCACACGGATTAAATATTAATAATATCAATGCAATTCATAAGCACTCAGCAGTTCGCTAATCTCAAAACAATTGAAATGTGGTTCGGGGCGGGGCGAAAGTTTCGTCATGAGCTGCACTGGCTCATGGGCTGATAAGGGATCGAAATCGTATCGAATTACGGCCGTGCAATGTGCCTGGCACGTCACGAAATTGAAGAAGGTGTTAGATTAGAAACTTTCGCAGACAGATCTGACTTATATAAAAGATATAGATAACTAGAGATAATTTCTATAGTGCATTTGCTCACCTGCGAGTCGGATTCCACGGAATTGGCGTCGTTGCTGTTCTGAAATCCCATGCGCACGTTGCCATTGGAGCGCACATATTGTGTGGCACGTTGTCCCTCCTCGTCGTCATCCACATCGCCGTCCAGATCGTTGCCATAGAAATTGCCGTTGGGTCGTTGGTGCGGTGAGTTTTGCTCCGAGGCCGATGGGAAAGGATGATCCGTGAGTGTGATGACGCGCGGCGGCGTCTGTACACGCAGAAAGCCCACCGACGGATTCTTGGGCAGTATGGAGTTCTCCAATTGGATTTCACGCGGTGCCGAACGCGTCTCCAGATGCTGATTGTGGCCCAGCACCACAATCCTGTCTGGCACATTCATATCGATCTTGTCATGATAATTCCACGAACTAATCATTCCATTCTGATTCGACAGCAACAGATCCTCGTCGGAGTACTCGCCGGTGGCCTTTATCCGTTTCGGCACGCGCATCTTGTCGTTGATCTCGTGCGCATATTTCGCATCATTAAACAGATCATCGTCCAGCCCGTTGAACATGGGAACGGGCGATTGTGGTGTGACCATTTCGTCTCTGGACTTTGGCTCCTCTCTCGTATTTACTTGCCCTCGTCCGACTGGGATGGGGAGCGGCTGCGACTGCTGCGGGACACTGCTATTGGGGCACGGCCAGGGATTTTGTTAGGCGTTGGGCGTTTGGGAGAGGAGACGTTTTCATAACAGTTATAAATCACTGGTAATTTAAGTTCAGATTGCACAACATGTTTGCTATTTTAATGTGTCGTGGAGATTTTGTTAATTTTTTGTTACTTACATTTTTCGAACTGACAGAAATGCTTCCGTATAAATTCGTATATGCCGTGTAAATTCTAAGTTTTTTTTTATTATATTCTTTTTTTGTCTTTATCGCTCGCTGCGTCGTGCCTTTTGTTGTAGAAATATGTGCGTGCAAAAAGGCAGCAAAAGAATGTACTAAATATAACCATAAAAGCGCTATATTTGCATTTGCAGTAGAATGTTGTTTAGGAAAGCAGTGCGAAAAACAATGAAACTAACTATGCCATTTAAAACATAAATACAATTCAATATAAATGGATAAATAATATAAATGCTAATGAATCATATTTATTCTCATTTTGTTACATTTTCATTTTTTTTTTTAATAATGACATCTTGTTATCTGCTGCGTATTGGCAACTCTGGAAATGCACAGCCATTCAGCACGAAGCGGTAACAACAAACGCACACAACAACGCGTTGCCGCGCTCATTTACAATATAATTTCTGCCGGATTCGGACGGATTGACAAGCGTCCTTTTTACATGTCAGAAAGATTGAAAATTTTAAAAGACAAAAATTGGTGTACAAATATTAATTAATTTCGCAGAGCTGGAAATACATTTAAAGCATATTGGCTACTGTTTAATTGTAAGTGCATTACGAGTAGATAACAATATTTGTTGCAGTCGCTGTCGCTGTTGGCGACGACGACGACGACGACGCCGACGTTGACGGCGACGTCGCCGGGTACAGTACGCGCCGTTTTTTTCGTGCCAGCTGAAAAGTGTTGCTGTTGTTGTTGTAGCAGTAAACAGTTTGAGTGGCCAGACAGGGCGGGAAACTGTAAACACAAATGGCTATAAATAAAATATAGCGCGCTTTTCTATATATTATCTAAATACATATTGTTTCTGTATTTATTGCAGATCGTGCATATTTAAATTAAGCAAACGCAATGGATCGACGCTCATTACGTTCGCGTCGCGCAGAGGATTTCGCACCCGTTGCTGCTGCCGCCCCACCCACTACACAGTCGGCCGCCGCCGCCACACAGACTCGGCGCGCCAATGCTGGAATTCGCACACGTGCTTCGCCCTCACGCAACAAGGTGCCGCCCCCCGAGCCGCCCGTCGCCGATGTCGGACTGCGCGCCCGTCGCTCCAGCCGGCCGCGTTCCGCTGCCGGACAGCCGGTCGCAGCGCCCCGCACAACCGCCACGCGGTCTACGGCCAAAGCGCCAACGCCAATCAAGGAAGTCAATGAGGTTGGTGCAGGTTTCTATATTCCATTTGTTTATATATAGAGATAAACTTAGCTATATATAAATAGATAAACTAGATATATGTAGTAGATATCTCCGTGTGTATGTGTTTCTGTTTATTTTAACCGGTTTGCCTGTTAAGTTTTTTCAACTTTGTTATCTTGACTTGGTCCAATACAATCAACGTTGAGGTCTTATCTCGTAAGCTGTTTGAATGTGTATGTGTAGTATAAGTTTATATATATAAACATTTATAATTAAAGATTTTATATGGCTATTTAGTGAATTGTGATTAGTAGGAGCTCTTTCATGAAATATATACAATATAAGGTCAACGCCTTTTAGTTTAGTATTATTAGTTAGCTTCCATTTTATAATACTCTGTGAACTGACCTCGCCATGAAATTTTGTGTATGGAATTTATTATATAATAGTAGTAWAGAATATATAAAATATTGTATTATATATTACCAAAAAGAATATTTGGAGTAATCATATTTGAAGTAATCATTTTTATCTGAAGAGATATATAGTTAGCTTCCATTTTATAATACTCTGTGAACTGACCTCGCCATGAAATTTTGTGTATGGAATTTATTATATAATAGTAGTAAAGAATATATAAAAT